CCATCGGCTATCTGCAGGATAAAAATTCGACCCTCCTGCAGCATAATGCCAAACTCTGCAAGACGCAAACAGAACAGAAGACTGAGTTCGGCGTCAAGATTAGATCTCTCGACGAAGAGCTCAGTAATAAAGGAAAGGCTCTTGCTGAGAGAGATGCTGCTCTCGCGGCCAAGGAAGCCGCAGTGGCGGAAAAAGAGGCCGCCCTGAAAGAAAGGGAGGCTCTACTGGAGCAAGAACGGATTGCTCGAGCTGGAGCAGAAAAGGCTCGTGCTGAGGTGGAACATGCTCGAGCGGAGGCGGAGAAGGCTCGAGCTGAAGCGCATAAGGCTCGGGCAGATCTGAAGGCCCTTGTGGCCAAAGAGAGGACTGCCTATGCCGACGAGAAGCAACGCTATGCTAATGCCACTGCTCTTCGAGCAAGGCAGATGCTCTGGGCGACCACAACGGGGCAGCTCTTCCTCCGTGAGCATTGCGCACAAGTGGTGGCTGACTTAATGCAGTCACCGCAGTATCTGAAGGAGTTGCAAGATTTCGGGGTGGACTGCTTTCAGTTTTCCCTGCAAAAGGCCGGGGAGCAGATCGCTGAGGACGATTTCGAGCAGCTCGACCCCGTGGCTATTTGGGATGCTTTGCCCAAAGTGCCCTCGAGCTTCTGCGGGGACCCTTCCCTGCCACTCGAGCATGAATGGTGGTCAGGGCAACTCGAGAGAACCTTGTCTCGATCAGATGTGCTAAAGAAAACATTTGCTTTGTCCGATGACGTTATTCCTACGACTTCTATGTTGATCGCAACGGCTGAGTCTATCAAACGACGCCCACTTAATGAAGCCTGCGACTCGACTCGCAACGGCTGAGTCTATCAAACGACGCCCACTTAATGAAGCCTGCGACTCGACCTCTGGAACCAGTCACCATCCCGATCCTAATGCCAGCTCGCGCAACGCTGACTCCGTCGCTGCTCCTCCATCTTAGCGTTGTATTTTTCACTTTATCTTTCTTAAATTCAAACTATGTACTTTAACGGGTTTTGTAATGATCTCGAAATAGAAATGTTTTGTTTTTAACTTGTTTTGATCTTCAATAATGCTCATTGGTGATTCTGACTTGATATCTTCATTATGGCACCTTGCGACCACTTAGATAGCTTAATCTTATCGTACACACATATACACTCGCCCACCCTTGGGGGCGGTCGAGACATACGACCGTCTGACCTTGTGGCCTTGAACACGACGGGTTTTAAATTTTTAGACACATGCCCACCCCTGGAGGTGGTCGAAGCATGCGACCGTCCAGCCTCATGGCCT